GCCCAAGAACACAACACAATGTCCACGGCCAGGGCTCGAACCCGGACCGCTCGATCCGGAGACGAGCGCACTAACCATGAGGCCACCACGCCTCCACAAGTAATATCTACAGTAATATCTACAGTAATATCTACAGTAATATCTACTTAAAGGAGCTACATCACGGGTTGCCATCTCGAAAAGTTACGCCAAAATTTACCAAGTTCGTCGTTTTGGTCCGTGTTAATCTTCTCCATAATAAACCATCCTTGTTTCTTTATGGTTTATTATTATCGCTTTGATGTTTTTCTATCTTAGTAAACAAATATTTCCAGGTTTCCTTTCATTTAAAGGTAATTTTGTGCGTGGCCAAAGTAACTCAAAATGCCGCGACTGAGCCCCTTTAAGATAAGTCCCTGTGTCATTTTCCAAATGTTGTATTTTGTGTCCAGGTTCCCAGTATGTGGGCGGCCAAATCGTACCCGTCCTTGAAGCCTCTGGGTAGTTACGTGGCGGATCTTGTTGCTCGCCTCAGATTTTTCAAGGTAGTGTTCTCGTTGCTGTTGTATTTGTTGTAACAGGCTATTGAAGTATGTCATTTTAAAGCCGTTTTGTTTTTCATTCTCCAGACTTGGATTGACGAAGGTTCTCCAAATGTGTTTTGGATCTCGGGATTCTACTTCACTCAGTCTTTCCTTACAGGTTAGTATCAATTCATACTTCTATGTGAGGCGAGGTACACTCTTTTTTATATAAGAATATTGTTTTCCGCCCCAAACTGAATGTTCTTACTTTCCTGCCGATTTTAGGCTAAAAATATCCTTGTAAATATTCTTAGATTATAGCATATGACATTTCTGTTTAATATGCTCTGATGGCGTTGAAGTAATTTTGGGCTCAGACTGTAAGCAATAAAGCTTGATAATGACACACATAACTTATTACAGAAATGTTATTAGCATCGAACTTGGCTAGTTTTGTCGTTTAGGGAAAGGAAGAATTTTGTACTGATTAGTTAAACATACAATTGTATTGTATTTACAAATTTTCCCACACGCAATTAATTTTTTTTTCCAAAATCTCAGCCTCGGTTTTATTCCTAAAATATTCTTAAAATTTTGCAAATTTCAGCCTCGATATTCTTAAAAGATATATTCTTATAAAAAGAAAAGAATGTAATGTAAGAGTAAAGTGCCTTGCCCAGGAATACACCATAATGGTCCCCGAAGTAAATTAAAATGAACGTCTGAATATTTTCAGGTGCGATGCAAAATTTTGCAAGACGCTGTAAGATTCCGATCGACCACTTGGGATTTGAATTTGAAGTGACTGACGAGGAACATGATATGAGCAGCAAACCTGTAAGTGAATATGG